AAAGGGAAACTCTTATGCACGTTTATTGAGAATGTAAATTAGTATAGCCATTACGGAAAATAGCAGGGAGATTTATAAACAAATTGAAAATAGAAATACCGTATGACCAGTATGACCCAGCAATCTCTCCTCTGCTTTTGTGTGCAAAGGAAATAAAATCACCACCTCATAAATATTTTTACAGTCCCATGTTCACTGCAGCACTATTTATAAAAGCCAGGTTATGGAAATAGTCCATGGCAATCCATAAACCAATGACTAAAAACCATGGTACATATACACAATATTATTCAGCCCTGAAAAAAGAGATTTTGCCATTTGCTACAACAATGAATAAAACTGGAAGACATTAAGCTAAATCAAATAAATAAGACAGAGAAAGAAAAACATTGCATGAGCTTACTTGTACGTGAAATCTTAAAAAATAAAAAAGAAAGAAAGAAATTAAAGTGTACAGAGTAGAAAACAAAACAGTGGTTACCTGGGGAGGGTCATAGGCAGGAAATGAGGAGATGTAGGTCTGAAGGGACAAAATAGTAGATATGTAGAAAGAATAAATCTAGAGAGTAAATATACAACATGAAAATTGTAAGTGGTGTAATTGAACTATACAGGGAATTCAAGCTAAGTGAGTAGACTTTAGCTGCTTTTGCCTCACAAACAAAGAAAATGGGTAACTGTGCAAAATGGTGAATATGTTAATTTCCTTAGTATAGTAACCTTTTTTACAACTATATGTATGCTATAACATCATGTTGTGTTGTATATCTTAAATACACATAATAAAATTCATTTAAAAATAACAAAAACAAATTGCATGCAATGATTGTTTTTTTTTTAAAGGCTTTGAGCAAAAAATGTCAGCATGCAATGATTTTTTTTTTTTTTAAAGGCTTTGAGCAAAAAATGTTAATGGATCTTCTCAGTTGAACAAGGTCACTCAGTGGTGCAGTACAGATCAAACTGAAATTTGGACTTCCTTCTTAAGATAGTCACCATTAGTTTGGAAAAAAACAGGAAATAAAATTAAAGAGACTTGATAGTGATCACCAGGAATATTTTGGGGTCTAGTTACTAAGTACATGTATTTTACTAAAAACAAATATATAAGAAATCTAAGCTTTTGAGAGAGTTATATGGCTTACATAAGGCTCACAATTCTGAGTCTTATGTAAGCCTTTAAACAAATGTTGATCAGGAAGCGAGCTGTAAAAGTTGCTTGACTTTAAGAAGAGCAGATCCTCAACATCACATTAGATGTAGCCAAGGAAGATAAAAGAAAGATAGGATCCTTCCAGAGAAGGGAGCTAAGAATCGCAGAGAGAAAATAAAGTCAGGGTCTCCTCAGGGAATTTACTTTTAGGCCACCGCTTTGCTCAACCTCAAAATCACTTACTCTTAGTTATTGTAGTAGATTGAACAGTTGCCCCAAAGGATCCAATCCAATCTCATCCAATCTTGTACCAAATATTGCTTTGTTTGGAGAAAAGGTTTTTGCAGTTGTGATGAAGTTAAGAACTTTTAGATAGGGAGATTATTCTGGATTATCAGAGTGCCCTAAATGCTGTCATATGTACCCTTATGAGAAGGAAGTAGAAAGAGATCTGACACACAAGAAGAGAAGGCAATGAGAAGGTGGAAACTGAGATGAGAGTGGTAAACCAGGGAACACTGGCACATACCGAAATCTATAAGGAACAGATTCTTTCCTAGAGCCTCTTGAGGGAGTGTGGGCTTGCCTATCCCTTAATTTCAGCTTGATGAAACTAATTTCACATTTTGGAGACAAGAAATGAGAGAGAATAAATTTCTGTTCTATGCCACCAAATTTGTGGTAGTTTTCTGCAGCAGTCACACAGGAAGTTAATACACTCACACTTGAAAAAAGGCATAATAGCATATCTATTCCAAAGGCTGTGATAATGCAATAGGCCAGGTTTATTTATGGTTTATACATTTGTATCTGATGTTATACATACAATCAAAAAAAGGAAAAATATTTGAGTAAGATCCACAAATGAATTTTGTTCTGTACTTTATGAGAAATTTTTAGTTATAATGATGACATGGGGCAGAAAATATCTTCGGAGAGTCACCTTCACTTAATTTTTGGTCTTTAGAGGTTTTTCCTCTAAAGGGTGTGTGTGCATGTGTGACGAATCCTGAGAGAAGAATGGAGGAGAATGGATTGTGGAGTAGCCATCCCCCTTGGAGGGTTGATTTCTCACTTTCTTTCACTTTCTGTGTCTCCAGTGGGTGCATGTGCCCTGTAGCAAAAATCTAAAAACGAAGCAAAACAAAACAAAACACTGGAAGCAGCAGATGGAGTAATGGTTATGTAGCTGGACTCCCAAGTAGTTGACCATGGTTCAAGTCCCAGACCTGGTGGCGTAAAACTCAAATGAGGAGATGTAGGTCTGAAGGGACAAAATAGTAGATATGTAGAAAGAATAAATCTAGAGAGTAAATATACAACATGAAAATTGTAAGTGGTGTAATTGAACTATACAGGGAATTCAAGCTAAGTGAGTAGACTTTAGCTGCTTTTGCCTCAAAAACAAAGAAAATGGGTAACTGCAAAATGGTGAATATGTTAATTTCCTTAGTATAGTAACCTTTTTTACAACTATATGTATGCTATAACATCATGTTGTGTTGTATATCTTAAATACACATAATAAAATTCATTTAAAAATAACAAAAACAAACAGCATGCAATGTTTTTTTTTTTTTTAAAGGCTTTGAGCAAAAAATGTTAATGGATCTTCTCAGTTGAACAAGGTCACTCAGTGGTGCAGTACAGATCAAACTGAAATTTGGACTTCCTTCTTAAGATAGTCACCATTAGTTTGGAAAAAAACAGGAAATAAAATTAAAGAGACTTGATAGTGATCACCAGGAATATTTTGGGGTCTAGTTACTAAGTACATGTATTTTACTAAAAACAAATATATAAGAAATCTAAGCTTTTGAGAGAGTTATATGGCTTACATAAGGCTCACAATTCTGAGTCTTATGTAAGCCTTTAAACAAATGTTGATCAGGAAGCGAGCTGTAAAAGTTGCTTGACTTTAAGAAGAGCAGATCCTCAACATCACATTAGATGTAGCCAAGGAAGATAAAAGAAAGATAGGATCCTTCCAGAGAAGGGAGCTAAGAATCGCAGAGAGAAAATAAAGTCAGGGTCTCCTCAGGGAATTTACTTTTAGGCCACCGCTTTGCTCAACCTCAAAATCACTTACTCTTAGTTATTGTAGTAGATTGAACAGTTGCCCCAAAGGATCCAATCCAATCTCATCCAATCTTGTACCAAATATTGCTTTGTTTGGAGAAAAGGTTTTTGCAGTTGTGATGAAGTTAAGAACTTTTAGATAGGGAGATTATTCTGGATTATCAGAGTGCCCTAAATGCTGTCATATGTACCCTTATGAGAAGGAAGTAGAAAGAGATCTGACACACAAGAAGAGAAGGCAATGAGAAGGTGGAAACTGAGATGAGAGTGGTAAACCAGGGAACACTGGCACATACCGAAATCTATAAGGAACAGATTCTTTCCTAGAGCCTCTTGAGGGAGTGTGGGCTTGCCTATCCCTTAATTTCAGCTTGATGAAACTAATTTCACATTTTGGAGACAAGAAATGAGAGAGAATAAATTTCTGTTCTATGCCACCAAATTTGTGGTAGTTTTCTGCAGCAGTCACACAGGAAGTTAATACACTCACACTTGAAAAAAGGCATAATAGCATATCTATTCCAAAGGCTGTGATAATGCAATAGGCCAGGTTTATTTATGGTTTATACATTTGTATCTGATGTTATACATACAATCAAAAAAAGGAAAAATATTTGAGTAAGATCCACAAATGAATTTTGTTCTGTACTTTATGAGAAATTTTTAGTTATAATGATGACATGGGGCAGAAAATATCTTCGGAGAGTCACCTTCACTTAATTTTTGGTCTTTAGAGGTTTTTCCTCTAAAGGGTGTGTGTGCATGTGTGACGAATCCTGAGAGAAGAATGGAGGAGAATGGATTGTGGAGTAGCCATCCCCCTTGGAGGGTTGATTTCTCACTTTCTTTCACTTTCTGTGTCTCCAGTGGGTGCATGTGCCCTGTAGCAAAAATCTAAAAACGAAGCAAAACAAAACAAAACACTGGAAGCAGCAGATGGAGTAATGGTTATGTAGCTGGACTCCCAAGTAGTTGACCATGGTTCAAGTCCCAGACCTGGTGGCGTAAAACTCACACCAAGTATGCATGCATGAATGAATGCATGCTCAAAATCTTGAGAGGAGAATGGAGGAGAAGGGATTGCAGCATGGCCATAACCCCATGGGATGGTTTCTCACTTTCTGTTTCTCTGTGTCTCTCTGTCTCTTCAGTGTGCTCTATAACAAAAATCTCTCTAAAAAAACAGAAAAAAATCTTTACTGTAATTTCTAATTCTAAATCAATGCATTTTGATTATAGATCTTAAAACTAAAAAAAAAAACCAAAAAACCAAAAAACCAAAAAAAACCTAGCATTTTCCTCAACTGATCAGTGTTAAAAAGGTTTTCCCTTCGCATTAAAACATATCTAAATATATATAAATTATCTGTCTATGTACGATAAAATATGGAATTTTACTTTGGTAATTTTCCTTGTAAAACTATTTTATAAAGAACATTCTACAGCAGTGCATATAGCTCTACCTTCTTCTTAACAGGTCCATTTCATTCCTTTATATGAATATGGTATAATTTAGTTAAAAAGTACCCACTGATGGATGCTTCAGTTGTTTCCTATATTTTTGATGCAAATGGTAATAAGTTTTCTTTTTACACAGTTTACTGGCCCCTGTTTTGTCAAATTCAAAAATATTTTCAGTTTAAAAAATAATTTTTTTGCGAAGGTTTTGAACATTAGAAGTATTTTTAAAAGTCAAGTGCTTATATTAATTGCATTAAGGTTACTTAAAAGTCCTGACTAATAACTATGGTGCCGGTTATTTTTTTAGTCATCTGACTACCCAGTGGTGCTTTCTTTGGAAAATCACTGCTCTCCTTCCCAACAAGAAGTGATGGCAGAGCATTTGCAGATTATACTTGGAGATTCTCTGCTATCTGATGTGCTTGATGACTTTCCAGACAAACTACCTTCACCAGAGGTAACATTTTGTTAAGCTCCTCTTTACCAGAGGAGCTCAGGTGAAGAAAAACAAACAAACAATATGTCACTACAATATTAGCCATGAACTGGGTTGGAGATAGATGAAAATGTTTAGTTTTGATTCTGTACAGAAGAGTATTTTTGCAATCTGTTGCCTAGGAAATGATTCTGTCTGCATTTAGGTGAATGTCTTTTGGTAAAGAGAAAACTGATGGGGCCAGCCAATGGCAAGGTAGTTAAGATGGCTGGATCCTCAATGGCTGACTACCTGATTTGTGTTCCAGTCCCAGCAGCATGAGAAACACACCCAAATGTATGTGTGTGCACCTAAAAATCCAAGACGAGAATGGAGGAGAAGGACTAACCCCCATGAGGGGTGTTTTCTTATTTTCTCTTTCTCTATGTCTCTCTGTTTCTTTCTGGAAAGTATTTATACTCTCTGGCAACTTTAAGAGAGAGAGATAGAGATAGAGAGAGAGAGAGAGAGAGAGAGAGAGAAAGTGGTTGCAGAGTGTACTTAGAAAAATGATATAAAGGTCATAGTCAAAGAAAGATGGAGTAATAATCTGAGTGGTTACCAGAGGACGACAAAAGGAAGGGACAGCCAAAGATCCTTGGACAAAAGGTCTTTACTATATAACCATATTTCAGCATTGTATATATTAGCAGGCACCGAAATAAATTTTGAGAAGAGCAGTTGTCACTGAGTGAAAGAATGGATTTTTGGGCTTTTGGATTTAGAATGACACTAGTGTTGATGGATAGGAAATACTAAGTTAATGATACTTGCAGGTTACATAGTTGAAATTTGAAGAAGCTTTACAAATCTTTAGTCTGTACTAGTTGCCAGATACTGAAATAAACAATTTTGCATACCTGATCTCATTTAATAAATGTTAATCTTAGATAAGAGTGATGACCTGAAGTATTTACTTCAGGTTTTAACATTCTAACTTTAGTAACATAGCAAGTATTTTAACATGTATGAAACATATGTGCTAGTAATATATAATACATAATATGCATTTAACATATCTATACATATTCTTTTTACATCTTTCAAAATTTTAATTAGTATTATTATAATAACTTATAGAATATACAAGTTATGGCCCACAGTAAGTTCTAATCATAACAGCTTATTTTTTTGGTGAATTATGATCAATATGAGATCACTGGTTTCTCTTAGGGTATGGGTAGGGGATATGGAAAAAAGGTGGGTTTCAACCAGATCTTACTACTATGAGCGAATTGAAAATACTATGAAAAGCTTTGCAATGACAGTTACAATGTAGACTTACTTGCAAATGCATGATTGAAGCTCTCTTTCAAATTTCTAAATAAAAGGCACTGAAGTTCAAGATACTGGTTAAAAATAAGAAAGTAGGAACTTTACAGGAAACTCGAGAAAGGAAAGGCACTGATAAGCATGGGAAGTTCGGAGTATGGGAAGAGGAGGAACCAGAACCAGAGGAAGAAGAGGACAGTGAGTTCAAAGACTCTGAATCATCATATACGCTTTTGGAAAAAGAGAATGAAGAAAAGGAAGCAGAATCCATAAAGACACTTGGAGTAACGCTCTTCAAGAAAAAGAAGGTAAGATGCTGCCTTGTGGAAACTTTACAAGTGATTGAAGAGTTTTAAAATGTTCTTACTGGTAGAGAATTGAAAACATTCTGGAAAGAAAAGTCACTTTCCTCTTTATAAAAACTCTAGTTTAGGGATCAGCAGATGGCATAATGGTTACATTGCTGGGCTCCCACGTAGTCAACCACTCTTTGAGTCCTGGACCAGGTGCACCCAGTGCATGTACATGTGTGTCCAAAATCTCTAGAGGAAAATGGAGAAGGGACTGTGGCATGGCCATAGCCCCTGGGGGGTGATTTCCCACTTTTTCTCTCTCTATCTCTCTATTTCTCTATGGTAAGAGCATGTACCCGATAGCAAAAATTTCCCTTAAAAAACAGACAAACAAACAAACAAACACCCTCTAGTTTATCACTTGAAATTTGCTTTGCAAAAATTGACAATGGAATATAAAATTTTAAAGTCATCTCTTTTCTTGTCTGCTGTTTCTAAATCTTTCCCTCATTAGGTGACAAATATTAAGTACTTTTATGTACTAGGCATTGTGCAGAGTAGAAAAGATACAGCCAACATAATTTCTCTGACCTCAAGTAGAGACTGAGACAAGAAAATCAATGTTTAGAATATATAGTACGATAAGCAAAGGTATTAGCATTACAAAAGAAAATTGCAACTGGCATTAAACTAACCCATCTGGTTTAAATAAAATGAGTATTAGTTAATTGGACCACATAGATGAAAAGTCTAGGGAATAAGACTTTAACCTCAGGAATGACTTGGTATACTGTCTCAAGCAAGGTCAAAAGCACTTTAGTCTCTTCTTGAGCTTTGGCCTCACTTTTTCTGTACTGATGTAAGACTACTGCAAAAATTCCACCTTCCATCTTTTCTCAGCAGAGGCAGCTAATTATTATTATTATTTTGCACATTGGTTATGATCTAGTTATACACATATCCTTGAATCAGTTACTGTTGCCAGGGAAGTGCCAAGCTAAGATTAGCCAGGGCCAGCCTGCTCAATCCCTATGTAAACATAAACACATGGATTGCATATGGGCAAGGAATCACTTTCCAAAACAAAACTTGGGAACTGGCTGACAGATGTGTCCAGGCAATCCGCTGGGCTGTAAAAGAGCACATGTCTATGAAACAGTAGAAATTATTCTAAAATGTTATATCAAACTGGAAACATACTTACTCATGACAAAAAGTCTTCATTTATACAGCTTATGAGAATATATCAAGATATTTGGAAGGAAGAACGTAAGTAATAATATTTTCTTCAGTACTTATTACTGGGTTGTCAGAAAAATCATGTTTTCCTTTTTTTTTTTCATAGAGAAATTTTTACTATAGGGTGTGTGCACTCACCAGAGAGACAGAGAGACAGAAAGCAAGAAGTCACCCCCCCAGGGGGCATAGCCAAACTGCAATTACTACTTTGTTCCCCTCTCGAGAATTTTGGTCACAAGCGCACACACTCCTGATGTGAGTTTAAGTCGCCGGTTCAGGACTTGAACTGCTGTCAGCTATGTGGGAGTTCAGCGACACAACCATTATGCCATTTTCTGGTCCCAAAAAATCATGTTTTCTATGCAAAATGTGTTATGACTTTTCCAATGACCCAATACATTAATTAGGATTTTAAATTTAGGCTAGTTTATGTTAACATTGAATAGCGTGGCCATGAAAAAGAAATACAATGACTTTGTACAAATAGTTTTTGAGGAGATGATCTTATGAAAAGACTACCATCATGCATTTGGAAGCATATTCTTTACTAGAAAAGTATTTTTCAAATGATTAGTATGAAAATGTGAAATGATTGCATTTTATTTTTAGACCAGGAAGCAAAAAATCGCTCTGGCCTTATCTGATCTTGTCATTTATACTAAATCTGAGAAATTCAGAAGTTTTCAATATGCAAGACTGTACCAACAATTTAATGAAAATAATTCTATTGGGGAGACACGAGCTCGAAAGCTTTCGAAGTTGAGAGGTAAATGCTTATGATATCAACAGATCAAATGTTGAATTAGTTGCAGTCACTACTCAGGTGTCAAGATTTATCAATGATATTTATAAAATGTGTACTCTCATAAAATGTCAACATAATTAACATAATAGGCAGGAGTTGGTTTTATTTCTCAGTTCTAAGTTTTATTTCACAGGACTTAGTCATTAATTAACTTATAACATTTGGATTGAGAATGTTCAGTGTGAACACTATTGTGGGTGGGGGTTGATGAGCAGTTTATATATGAGAGAGCACTGAGTCTCATGACACTATTGTGGGTGGGGCTTGGTGAACAGTTTATATATGAGAGAGCACTGAGTCTCATAGGTAGGGAGAGCCAAATTACAAGGCACTTGAGTATTGTCTTGGCAGTGAAGGTGAGCAGGAGAAGCCCGAAATTTCAGAAGTGGTGTGATCCACTGTGCAGCTCTGAACCATGCCTCTGATAGCAGCCAAAGGGTAGGACTGTAGCTGGAAGATTAGAGTTAGGGTAGCCAAAACAGAGACAGGGTGCTGGTATTGGATACAATAGGCACCGAAGAGGTAGAGTTAATTAGACTTGAAGGCTGTAGGATGAAGGTGCTGACAAAGAGGATATGGCACCCGGCCAGACTACCAGACGGTTTTGCAGAGTGAGCACTACCACTGCACATCTCCAGAGGCAGCATCTGTGACTCCACCTTCTTTTGACTACCTTCTGATTCTAAATCTAAGCTGTGTATTTTGTTTTGGTAGTACCCCAGATGAAACAAGGCCTTGGAAAGAGAATGAGAAGCAGATCCTGCCCTTTCTGAGACTCATATGTCAGGGAGGGTCCCAGATTTTAATAGGAATGGGTAACTAACTTGACTGTCCAAATCCTTCTTAAGAAATTGCAGTCTACCCTCTTGTGTAGAAAATACCAGCATAGGAAAATCAGTACCTGCTGTTGGCTGTGTGGAATCCAGAGTAGACATTTTTATTGGTTAGCCTCATTGGGCTGGCCTTTGGTGGCAAGGATTTGGAAATGTACTTTTGTTCATATTCTCAAACTGCTTATTAAAGAGACCCTGGATATTTTAAGGGCATTCAAAACAAAACAAAACAAACAGTAGGTTGTAACCAAAAATCAACTCAGAAGGTCTGGACTAGTTACATAATAGAATAAGGATAGAATAGTGTAGATTGGAATGGAATAGACTAGACTAGACTAGAATATAATATAATAGACTAGAATAGAATAGAAGAATGTCTTGTAGGCAGTAAGAATAAGCACTGTTTTGTGTGTGTGTGTGTGTGTGTGTGTGTGTGTGTGTGTGTGTGTTGGATAGTAATATAAAATGACTTGTGTTACTGTGAGGTACAAAGAGTTAGATTGATCTGGTTTACTGGACTCTATATCTTTACATTATTAAATGGCTTTTGTTCTTCATAAGGGCAGAAACTCTGGGCACAGCAAAAATATAATTATATTTCTTTTACTCTCATATTACATACTTGCAATAAATTTTGGGAGAGAAATTGGGGGTTTCTGAGTAGAGTCATAAAGTATAGCATCACTATCTCTGGGGAAGGGTATAAAGCATTTCCAGCACCAAAATTCTGTAGTAAACAGGATGCCTATTACTATTATAAACATAATAAACAATATCTAAAACAATGTAATAGATGAATCCTATTGAAATGGAAGGATTTTTCACATTAGTAAGTAAAAAAAAATGGCAGTTTGTGAAAAAGAATAAGCAATATGAATCAATTAAAAATTAGCACATACATACAAAAAAATGGAGAGATATACACCAAAGAGTTATCCATAGTTATTAATTAAAAAATGAGATTATGTGTGGTTTTATTTATTTTCTCCTTGATTTCCTCATATTTCTAAAACAAACATGAACTGCATTTGTAATAACAAAGCATGTTTGATTTCTAAAGGTTAATCTCAGAAGTAACAACATCATATTAGGTTTAGGGACCTTAGTGATCATTCAAGTTTATTGCTTTGTAAATGAGAAGCATTAAGATTCAGAAGGCTATATGTGTCGCCCAAGGATAGACATATCTTAGGACTAGATAAAGGAGCATAATATTTGAGATCCCTTGCTGCAGTTATACGTGAGTGGAGTCAAAATAAATTTTGACGGAATGTATAACTTAAAAAAGAAAGTATTAATAAAATTAACTGAATTTTTGAGAGAGAGAGTTTTTGCTATAGGGCATGTATACTCACAGGAGAGACAGAGAAAGAAAATAAGCGAGAAATTACCCTCTCAGGGGGATGGCCACACCGCAATCCCTTCTCCTCCATTTTCCTCTCGGTATTGTGGGCACACACACACATAAGCCTGGCGTGAGTCTTAGGCTACTGCATCTGGGACTCGAACCGCAACTGACTATGTGGGAGTCCAGTGACATAAACTTATGCCGTCTGCTGGTCCCATAATTAACTGTAATCTTTAACTTGACAGTGTTTTCTAAAGAATAGCATTTAGGGAGCCAGCAGGTGATGTAGTTTTTAAGGGTGCTGGACTCCCACGCCTTGACGACGGTTTGAGTCCTAGACCTGGTGGCTTGCTTACTCACTTTTCCTCTCTCTCTCTCTCTTCCTACTCTGTTCCTCTCTGGTGGCTTGCTTACTCATTTTTCCTCTCTCTCTCATTCTGTCCCTCTCTGGTCAAATTAAAATGAATAAATAAAAAAGATAAATAAAATGATTAAGAAAAGAATAGCATCTAGAGTGAGAGAGTGATTCTGTTTTGAGTAGCAAATACAGTGGGTCACAGGCAATAACTATGTCTATCTTGACTGTTCACCATATTTTTCAGAAAAGAGTATTGAAACAGGATCTGTTTAGTGAAAGAAAAGTCTTAGAGAAACATGAAATATTTGTTAAAAAATGTAAAGAGCTGTCAAATAGAAATGGGTATAGATTAGTTTTTTGTTTGTTTTTTACTTTTTTCTTATTTTTAAAATTTCATTTTCTTTTATACATTCAATCATGTTATTTAGCTTCCAAAGTGAATATTTCATCATGTGAACATTTCTCCCTAGTCCAGTTGATAAAACTATAAAATTATCTTTAACAGGTAATACCACATTTCTCTGGAATCTCAGGAGATTTAAATAGAATGTAGTGAAGTAGAAATGTAAAGAATGCCCATAGAAAAATTCAAATAGACTCTGTGTGTGTGTGTGTGCAGCAAAGTATATAGTTATCTCAGTAGGGAAGACAACTAAAATAATTAAAAGTATTGGGAGGTAGTTTTTAAATAGGAAAATATAAACAGAGATTGAATGAATTTGGGGGGAAATGCTGGAGTGGAGGGATTAGGAACTGAACCAGGTAGTTTTTGGATTCCCTTTAGCCCTCAGAATTGGAAATGTTCAACCAGATGAATTAGGCTGAAACTATACCACTTTATAAGTGATTCTGTTTTAATGTAAAATTAAAGTTAATAAATGGGGAAAGGTGCTGTTTGTTTTGAAAAATAGATACATTTTATTTTGGAATTTCATGTATTCTTATATCAAAAATAAATTAATATAAATGTGGAAAAATATTATCTAATCTATTTTTTCTTAAGTGAATGATTGATGCACATAAATTATGTAATAAAATTATTATTAACATTTTCAGTAACTGAATTGTACTATAAAAGTGAACGGATTTATTTTGATTTTTTATGAATCAGATATATTTGGCAAGACAAAACATATTCAAATACTATAGAGTTATATAGTTTATATAGAAGTACCTTATTTAATTTATTTGACATCTTTCACAATGTTTTATATATATTTTTTTTAGTTCACGAGTTTGCATAATATTTGAGATCCCTTGCTGCAGTTATACGTGAGTGGAGTCAAAATAAATTTTGACGGAATGTATAACTTAAAAAAGAAAGTATTAATAAAATTAACTGAATTTTTGAGAGAGAGAGTTTTTGCTATAGGGCATGTATACTCACAGGAGAGACAGAGAAAGAAAATAAGCGAGAAATTACCCTCTCAGGGGGATGGCCACACCGCAATCCCTTCTCCTCCATTTTCCTCTCGGTATTGTGGGCACACACACACATAAGCCTGGCGTGAGTCTTAGGCTACTGCATCTGGGACTCGAACCGCAACTGACTATGTGGGAGTCCAGTGACATAAACTTATGCCGTCTGCTGGTCCCATAATTAACTGTAATCTTTAACTTGACAGTGTTTTCTAAAGAATAGCATTTAGGGAGCCAGCAGGTGATGTAGTTTTTAAGGGTGCTGGACTCCCACGCCTTGACGACGGTTTGAGTCCTAGACCTGGTGGCTTGCTTACTCACTTTTCCTCTCTCTCTCTCTCTTCCTACTCTGTTCCTCTCTGGTGGCTTTCTTACTCATTTTTCCTCTCTCTCTCATTCTGTCCCTCTCTGGTCAAATTAAAATGAATAAATAAAAAAGATAAATAAAATGATTAAGAAAAGAATAGCATCTAGAGTGAGAGAGCGATTCTGTTTTGAGTAGCAAATACAGTGGGTCACAGGCAATAACTATGTCTATCTTGACTGTTCACCATATTTTTCAGAAAAGAGTATTGAAACAGGATCTGTTTAGTGAAAGAAAAGTCTTAGAGAAACATGAAATATTTGTTAAAAAATGTAAAGAGCTGTCAAATAGAAATGGGTATAGATTAGTTTTTTGTTTGTTTTTTACTTTTTTCTTATTTTTAAAATTTCATTTTCTTTTATACATTCAATCATGTTATTTAGCTTCCAAAGTGAATATTTCATCATGTGAACATTTCTCCCTAGTCCAGTTGATAAAACTATAAAATTATCTTTAACAGGTAATACCACATTTCTCTGGAATCTCAGGAGATTTAAATAGAATGTAGTGAAGTAGAAATGTAAAGAATGCCCATAGAAAAATTCAAATAGACTCTGTGTGTGTGTGTGTGCAGCAAAGTATATAGTTATCTCAGTAGGGAAGACAACTAAAATAATTAAAAGTATTGGGAGGTAGTTTTTAAATAGGAAAATATAAACAGAGATTGAATGAATTTGGGGGGAAATGCTGGAGTGGAGGGATTAGGAACTGAACCAGGTAGTTTTTGGATTCCCTTTAGCCCTCAGAATTGGAAATGTTCAACCAGATGAATTAGGCTGAAACTATACCACTTTATAAGTGATTCTGTTTTAATGTAAAATTAAAGTTAATAAATGGGGAAAGGTGCTGTTTGTTTTGAAAAATAGATACATTTTATTTTGGAATTTCATGTATTCTTATATCAAAAATAAATTAATATAAATGTGGAAAAATATTATCTAATCTATTTTTTCTTAAGTGAATGATTGATGCACATAAATTATGTAATAAAATTATTATTAACATTTTCAGTAACTGAATTGTACTATAAAAGTGAACGGATTTATTTTGATTTTTTATGAATCAGATATATTTGGCAAGACAAAACATATTCAAATACTATAGAGTTATATAGTTTATATAGAAGTACCTTATTTAATTTATTTGACATCTTTCACAATGTTTTATATATATTTTTTTTAGTTCACGAGTTTATTTTTCACACCAGGAAGTTTATTACCAGAATATATCCCAAAGCAACAAGAGCAGACTCTTCTAATTTTAATCCTCAAGAATTTTGGAATTTAGGTTGTCAAATGGGTATGTTATATAGGTTATTGAGTTATTTCAAAAGTAAGATAAGTAAGATAAGTAAAAAAGTAAAAAAGTAAGATAAGTTCATTTTGTGAATTAATACAAAATTCATGAAAAATTCCTATGAAGACTTTTTGGCCTTGGGCAGTGTTTCGGGATTTCAGTGACTCTTGAAGTCACTGGCTTTAAAATCTGATGTCATTCCTAAATGGGTTGCAGAGGGTACATTTAGGTGAGAGCTGGGAGCATGGAGGTTAAACTCTTGAAGAGTTTATATGGAAAATGTGTGGTAGAGAACAAGAAGATCAAAATGGACATAAAAGAAAATTGGAGGTCGCATTTTTTTGCTTGAAAGATATGCTCAAGGCCTCTTCAAACCAAGGGACCTTGATCATTTATGCTTTACTCAAGTGTCTACCTTGACGGTCTTAAAAGTGAATGGTATTGCATAGGTTTGTCTTCACCAGAGTCTCTTCATTCCAAATCGAGCAGCTGGGTACCGCATTGGCACTAACCAGTCAGAAGGTGCCAGTGTTAACCCTACTTCTATTGTATTGTGATGAGCCCTGCGCGGGTTTTAAGAGGTGGGAAGGTGAGGAGGGGGGAGGTGTGGAGTAGGAGATGGAACTAAATAGAGCAGCTGTTCACCAACCACTATCAAGGTACTTCTCTATTTTAACAACCGTTTTATCTCTACCTGTTTCTCACTTTCTCCTCAAGTGAGAACATCATCTCTTGGATCTGAAAGTTTATGATATAATTGACATCATCGCTTCTGCATTTAATGTGCTGGTTTTCTTTACTGCTATACTTTCTTGAATGTTACCTGACATGTACATTGCTATTCTGTAATAAGTACCATGTATTGTTTTATTTCTTTACTCAAAGACATATAATGATTTATAGATGAAACATCACAATGCATCAACACATTAATATAGACAGAAGGAAATTTAAAAATCATAAATTATTAGGTTAATGATGCTTGGTCTTAGAACCTTTGAGGATATTAATAAAATCCATGACTATATTTCAGTAATCGTTTAACTGTTTTTTTAACTGTATCCTCTGTTTTCTGACAATGTTTAAATATTTCTTTTTCACAGTGGCCCTAAATTTCCAGACACCTGGTCTGCCTATGGACCTGCAAAATGGGAAATTTTTGGATAATGGTGGTTCTGGATATATTTTGAAACCACAATTCCTGAGAGATATTAAATCTTACTTTAACCCAAATGAAATCTTAAAAGACAGTAATCCAATTACACTTACAGTAAGGGTAAGATGCATAACTTTTTTTGGGTTAATATATAACTAAATAGTGTCCATTAATGTTTTGAATTCCATTGCTTGCTTTAACTTCTTTTCAATTTCTTTTAATCTTTATTTTTTTTTTCTAGAGAGATTTTTGCTATAGAGTATGTGTGCTTGCTGGAGAGACAGAGAGACAGAAAGTGAGAAATAACCCCCTAGGGGGATGGCCATGTCAAAACCCTTCTCCTCCATTCTCCTCTCAGGACTTTGAGCATGTGTGCACACACACCGGCATGAGTTCTAAACTATCATGTCCAGGGCTCGAACTGTGGTCGACTATGTGTGAATCCAGCAACATAATTATTACACCATCTGCTGGACCCAATCATTTCTTTTTTTTTTTTTAAAGAGAGACTTTTGCTGTAGAGCACATGCTTTCACTGGAGTTACAGAGAGAGACAGAGAGAAAATGAAAAATCACCACCCCAGGGTACCTTCTCCTTCATTCTCCTCTCGGGATTTTGGGCATGCACACACATGTACCAAACTTGAGTTTCAAGTTGTAGGGTCTACGACTTGAACTGTGGCAGGCCATGGGGGAGTCCAGTGCTTTAATCACTATGCCATCTGCTGATCCCTTTATTTATTTATTTATTTAGGTACTATAGATGGGTGTTCTGTCAGCATCATTCCATATCTAAAAAATTGTCATTCTATTGCATTTTTACTTGCCTGTGAATCACAAATATAGAGGCTAAACCCTTTTGTTCTGAAGGCCTATTGGTACTATTCCACTGTAATTAGGCATTTACTATTGTGAATTTCCTGTGCACATGCTGCTTCCTCCCTTAACTTCAAAGAAGTTTACTCAGAAATTCTAGGAGCTACTTTCTTGTCATTAATCTTCATAATTCAGTTTTATAGCTCAGATTTTTTTCTTCCTTATGTCTCTGAATATAATTGATTACTTAGAAAAATATCCATATGTTTTTCTCTAGTATCTGTCTTCCATGTCTACTAATTTGTATCAACTTTGTCATGTTCTTTGTTTTCTTTTTTTTGAAAACAAATGAAACTAGTAGAAAGGGCATGCACTTGCCAGAGAGGGACAGATAGAGACAGAGAAAGAGAGAGAAAGGGAGAAAGCACCCTTCCTTATCTCCCTGCACATAGGGAATGGTCACGCTACAATCCCTGCTCTGTCTCTCCCTCCTTTCATGATTTCGGGCATGCACATACATGCACCCAGCATGTTTTCAAGCCATGATCTGGGACTTCAACAGCCCAGGTGGTGATGTGGGATCCAACTTCCTCAACCACCAGGCAGTGACTGGCCCCATGTTCTCTTTCTCTGCATGTTGGGAGAGCTTTAAAATGCATTGTATACACTGCTGATTCAGAATCTGCATTTGATTTCATTCATTACTGATTTTAATGTAGATAGGGATTTTCTCCTGCATGAGTAGTTCCGCCCGCAACTGTTACTTACCTCATATTACTTCCTTTTTATCTCCTTCTATATCCTACCCAGTTCTGTTCCTCCATTCCCTTATCGTATTATGGCATCTTTCATCTTTTGTTTTATTACAACCTGTATAATTTCATTGAGAGCAAAAGCAGTTGTCTAAAATTTATTGTTTCCATTTGTAAAGGCTTTTCAAAACCTCTTTCTTATTCTATAATCTTGGCTCCCTTTTTGAAAATGTCACTGAATCTTCTGAAAAATCTCTGGTTGCTTTTGTGTTCTTCTCACATAGTTATGAGCTATCTTATCTTAGAGTGTATCTACTCCTGCAATGTTTAAATGAGTAGGGAGGGTGGATATGGTCTCTTTCTGGTCCTTTTTTCTGTTTAAGTAGTTACTCCTAGAACCAGATGAACCATCTCAGTTCCTATTCTGGAATTTGGTAACTACTTAGCTGGCCTTAGCTGTGTTTATCATGTTATTTATTTATTTATTTATTTATTTATTTATTTTGTTTCTGCCATAGGGCAGGTGCGCTCATCAGATAGAGACAGAGAGGAAAATGAAAAATCTCCCTCTAGGGAGGATGGCCACATCACAATCCCTTCTAATTCATTTTCCTCTCGGGATTTGGGGTATGCACACTCATGTGCCTGATGTGTGAGCATCAAGCTACTGGTACAGACTCGAACCTTTGTTAGCTAGGTGGGAGTGTCTAGCACCTGCTGGCCCCATGGGTTTATTGTGTCTTTTTTCCCCCTTGTGTCTTATGTTATTACTTAATGAAGCTCTGCTTGCCCAGCTGGCTCATGAGTGCTTTCCTGCTCTGCTTGTTCTGCTGTCCGGCGGGAAACTGGAGCCTTCAGGGGTGCCTCTCTTGCTCCGTATCTCAGCTCCTTCTTCCACTTTTGTGATATCACAGGATTTGGAGATCTCTGACATCCGCTTCAGGCCCTGTCTATTTTATCCCACCTGAGAAAGAGAGGTTCGAGGGCTGTTTTCAACAATTGATGTGGAAGAGATATATCAAAGACAGATAGGACTGCAACGGTCCTGGTCAAGGCAGGAAATAGGGCCAGCGAAGTATGTAGATGACTTTTCTCATGGCTATTTGGCATTTTGTGAGTCAGCAGTAGGAGCCTACAGTGGTAGCCAAAATTCACTGGATGTAGCCAAAACTCATTGGCTGGCACTTTTTCTAGGATCTGGCAAAGCATCAAATATTGAGCTTACCTTATGATGTTGTTATTATATTGGAGTCCTTTTTGTATTTTTTTTTTGTATTGCCATAGAGTATATGCATTCATGAAAGATGAGAGAGAGAGAGAGAGAGAGAGAGAGAGCCAGAGAGAAAGCAAAAGAAAGAGATAGAGCACACTTCCAGTGGGGTATGGATATGCCACAATCGCTCTTCCTTCATTTCTCCATCTTCTCAGGATTTGGAACACATACATATAAATGCCTAGTGTGTTTTTTAAGCCGTTGGGGCTGGGACTTAAACCACATGGTTGGTCATGTGGGATCTAGCTGCCTTATGACTAGGCCACAAGGCCAGCCCTTGTATTTTTGTTTTAATGGTTAGTCTAATGAGAAGAGGGTACAAATTGGTCACTTTCAAGATCCCTTTCTACTCTGAAAAATCACCCTCTGTTCTTTCTTTTATTCTACCTCCTGAAAAATCTTTCTCACTTTCCTTTATGGGTTCTTCTTATATCTGCTCCTAAGATATTTAAGTTGCTGAAGCTTTTCCTCAACTTTGGCCTGAAACTAAACATTTTCTCTGGTCTCTGTTGTACAAATATTCATGGTTTGACCACCACCACCAATGATCAAATTGTTAATTTGACCTCATTTTTGGAATCTAAAGACCTATTGTAATAGTATCCCCACTTATTTAGCCATCATTCTGTCAAAGTTGATGTAATAAAACTTGAACATCTTTATGTGGACACATCTACATCTAGTCTTTTGTTTAAATGCCAGTGGACTTGGAGAAGACTGTCTTTCTCTGCTCCCTGCACCATTGGGACACCCCAGATGGCCTTGCTGCACAGAGAGCTGTTGGTGGCAGGTGCTACAGAGTTTGGTTTATTCTCTCCCGTACACACCTTTAAACTCTCAGGTGCATTACCTAAGACTTGGAAAAGCCCGTCTTCTCCTATTCCCCATGCCATCAGATCATCCGCTCCAGTGATAGGCCTGGGTGCACTGAGTAGCAGGGACTCTGAGCTGCAGAGAGACTGTGGCTCTTCCTCTTCTACACACCTCTGCATTCTCACACTAGCATTTCCTGAAGTGCACCGCATGTGCCCATTATCTCTCAATTGAAGCTCAGCAGCTCAGTCCCAGTTGCACCTGTTCTCTAGAAACTGGGAGAACTTTGAATTATCAAGGACCAGAGACAACAATTTAGCTTGCTGGGTGACCATCAGGGAGGTAGAACTTCATAGAGATCACTGATCACCACCTCCTCCTAATCACCTTTGGACACTCAGAATTAACTTAAAGAAATAAGGAGGAAACATGTAACTCACCTGAAGACTAGAAAACATCATAGAGCCACAAGAAATATTAGAAACCAAGAAAATATCTCCCCCAGTCCCCAAGGAAAACATCAATTCCTCATCATCCATAGGCAATACTATGGAACTTGTGGAAATGTCAGATAAACAATTCAGAAGATTTAGAATGACAAAACTAAATGAGATGCAAGAGCAAATAGACAATGAACTTCAGAAGATGCTAGAGGAAAGAGACAATGAGCTCTAGGAGATGAGGAAGTCCTTTCACTGTTTGAAAGAAGAAAGACACCATAAAAAAAGAACCAAACAGAATTATTAGAGATTAAGACTGTAATACAGGAAATCAAAACCTCCTTTGAAAGTATTAAATCAGATTAGATCATGTAGAAGATTGAATCTCAAATGTAGAAGACAAAAACTCTGACCTAAAAAAAAAAAATTATTAAAAAGACTCAGAAAATAACTAAGAATGAGGACAATATATGAGAAATATTAGATACCATTAAGTGCCCAAACATTCAGGTAATCAATATCTCTATCTCTGAAGAAAAATAAATAAATTAAAATATGTAAATAAATAAAACAAAGAGAAAATAATAAGGGGATTGATGATCTATTCCATGAAATCCTACAAGAAAACTTTCCAAACCTAGAGAGGCATGCAAATATCCAGACCCAAGAAATATAAAGGGTCCCACACAGGGATCAGCAGTTAGCATAATGGCTACATCACTGGACTCCCATGTAGTCAGTCGACGGCGGTTCTAGTCCAGGATGCGGTGGCTTAAACTCACGCTGGGCGCGTGTGTGTGCATGCCTATGATACCGAGAGGAGAATGGAGGAGAAGGGATTGTGGTGTGGCCATCCCCCCTGGGGGGTGATTTCTCAATTTTTGTCTCTCTCTGTCTCTCTGGTGAGCACACGTGCCCTGTAGCAAAAACCTCTCCAAAAAAAAAAAGAAAAAGGACCTCACACAGAATCAACCCAAGATCTTCTCCAAGGCATATCATAGCCAGATTGGCCAAAACAACAGCCAA